AGTTTCCGCCCAGTTTCGAACTGGGGACCTTTCGCGTGTGAGGCGAACGTGATAACCACTACACTACGGAAACATGCCCTGTAGGTGCAGGCAGAAATCTTCTGGTGCAGGCTTGTTAAAAAGTGTATAAAGGAAAAGTGAGCTGAGCCCTCCGTTGTGGCAAACAGTTTAAATTTTCTGCCAAAAGCCAATTGCTGTTTCTGCTCGGTTTCGAACCGAGGACATTTCGCGTGTTAGGCGAACGTGATGACCACTACACTACAGAAACCTCCTTACGTAAGACATGTGCTTTTTCGAAAATGGCTCCATCCCATAATCTTTCCTGCAAGCATTGTGACAAGCTGTTTAAATTCCACAAACAACAGATAAGAGCTCATTCGGAATGGCAGTCTGCCTACAGCTCTTTGGTACAATTGCCCTCACCTAATTTCAATAGTCCAAAAACTTTGTTGCGAATTTCAGCACGTGTATTAAAAACCCCTTTACTTGTTTTCGCCCAGTTTCGAACTGAGGACCTTTCGCGTGTAAAGCGAACGTGATAACCACTACACTACGGAAACTTAACTTGGAAGACAGTCCGACCTCTTTTAGCGTACGCTTGTTCAAAAGCGACTGAAACGATAGACTGCCCACTGTCCTTAAAATGGCAAAAAGCTGCTATTTTTGTTGGCAGACTAAACATTTTTTATTACTCTACAGGAAACTTCAATGGTCATTTGTTTTGTTTCAGTCCTTTTCTAAAGAATTTACACCGCAAATCGCCCTGCAAGTGTTCTGACCTGCTCAACAGAAAACCACTCAAAAAATGTTAGCAAAGACCATCCACAGTTTCCGCCCAGTTTCGAACTGGGGACCTTTCGCGTGTGAGGCGAACGTGATAACCACTACACTACGGAAACATGCCCTGTAAGTGCAGGCAGAAATCTTCTGGTGCAGGCTTGTTAAAAAGTGTATAAAGGAAAAGTGAGCTGAGCCCTCCTGTTGTGGCAAACAGTTTAAATTTTCTGCGAAAAGCCAATTGCTGTTTCTGCTCGGTTTCGAACCGAGGACCTTTCGCGTGTTAGGCGAACGTGATGACCACTACACTACAGAAACCTCCTTATGTAAGACATGAGCTTTTTCGAAAATGGCTCCATCCCATAATCTTTCCTGCAAGCATTGTGACAAGCTGTTTAAATTCCACAAACAACAGATAAGAGCTCATTCGGAATGGCAGTCTGCCTACAGCTCTTTGGTACAATTGCCCTCACCTAATTTCAATAGTCCAAAAACTTTGTTGCGAATTTCAGCACGTATATTAAAAACCCCTTTACTTGTTTCCGCCCAGTTTTGAACTGAGGACCTTTGGCGTGTAAAGCGAACGTGATAACCACTACACTACGGAAAATTAACTTGGAAGACAGTCCGACCTCTTTTAGCGTACGCTTGTTCAAAAGCGACTGAAACGATAGACTGCCCACTGTCCTTAAAATGGCAAAAAGCTGCTATTTTTGTTGGCAGACTAAACATTTTTTATTACTCTACAGGAAACTTCAATGGTCATTTGTTTTGTTTCAGTCCTTTTCTAAAGAATTTACACCGCAAATCGCCCTGCAAGTGTTCTGACCTGCTCAACAGAAAACCACTCAAAAAATGTTAGCAAAGACCATCCACAGTTTCTGCCCAGTTTCGAACTGGGGACCTTTCGCGTGTGAGGCGAACGTGATAACCACTACACTACGGAAACATGCCCTGTAGGTGCAGGCAGAAATCTTCTGGTCCAGGCTTGTTAAAAAGTGTATAAAGGAAAAGTGAGCTGAGCCCTCCTGTTGTGGCAAACAGTTTAAATTTTCTGCGAAAAGCCAATTGCTGTTTCTGCTCGGTTTCGAACCGAGGACCTTTCGCGTGTTAGGCGAACGTGATCACCACTACACTACAGAAACCTCCTTATGTAAGACATGTGCTTTTTCGAAAATGGCTCCATCCCATAATCTTTCCTGCAAGCATTGTGACAAGCTGTTTAAATTCCACAAACAACAGATAAGAGCTCATTCGGAATGGCAGTCTGCCTACAGCTCTTTGGTACAATTGCCCTCACCTAATTTCAATAGTCCAAAAACTTTGTTGCGAATTTCAGCACGTATATTAAAAACCCCTTTACTTGTTTCCGCCCAGTTTCGAACTGAGGACCTTTCGCGTGTAAAGCGAACGTGATAACCACTACACTACGGAAACTTAACTTGGAAGACAGTCCGACCTCTTTTAGCGTACGCTTGTTCAAAAGCGACTGAAACGATAGACTGCCCACTGTCCTTAAAATGGCAAAAAGCTGCTATTTTTGTTGGCAGACTAAACATTTTTTATTACTCTACAGGAAACTTCAATGGTCATTTGTTTTGTTTTAGTCCTTTTCTAAAGAATTTACACCGCAAATCGCCCTGCAAGTGTTCTGACCTGCTCAACAGAAAACCACTCAAAAAATGTTAGCAAAGACCATCCACAGTTTCCACCCAGTTTCGAACTGGGGACCTTTCGCGTGTGAGGCGAACGTGATAACCACTACACTACGGAAACATGCCCTGTAGGTGCAGGCAGAAATCTTCTGGTGCAGGCTTGTTAAAAAGTGTATAAAGGAAAAGTGAGCTGAGCCCTCCTGTTGTGGCAAACAGTTTAAATTTTCTGCCAAAAGCCAATTGCTGTTTCTGCTCGGTTTCGAACCGAGGACCTTTCGCGTGTTAGGCGAACGTGATGACCACTACACTACAGAAACCTCCTTATGTAAGACATGTGCTTTTTCGAAAATGGCTCCATCCCATAATCTTTCCTGCAAGCATTGTGACAAGCTGTTTAAATTCCACAAACAACAGATAAGAGCTCATTCGGAATGGCAGTCTGCCTACAGCTCTTTGGTACAATTGCCCTCACCTAATTTCAATAGTCCAAAAACTTTGTTGCGAATTTCAGCACGTATATTAAAAACCCCTTTACTTGTTTCCGCCCAGTTTCGAACTGAGGACCTTTCGCGTGTAAAGCGAACGTGATAACCACTACACTACGGAAACTTAACTTGGAAGACAGTCCGACCTCTTTTAGCGTACGCTTGTTCAAAAGCGACTGAAACGATAGACTGCCCACTGTCCTTAAAATGGCAAAAAGCTGCTATTTTTGTTGGCAGACTAAACATTTTTTATTACTCTACAGGAAACTTCAATGGTCATTTGTTTTGTTTTAGTCCTTTTCTAAAGAATTTACACCGCAAATCGCCCTGCAAGTGTTCTGACCTGCTCAACAGAAAACCACTCAAAAAATGTTAGCAAAGACCATCCACAGTTTCCGCCCAGTTTCGAACTGGGGACCTTTCGCGTGTGAGGCGAACGTGATAACCACTACACTACGGAAACATGCCCTGTAGGTGCAGGCAGAAATCTTCTGGTGCAGGCTTGTTAAAAAGTGTATAAAGGAAAAGTGAGCTGAGCCCTCCTGTTGTGGCAAACAGTTTAAATTTTCTGCGAAAAGCCAATTGCTGTTTCTGCTCGGTTTCGAACCGAGGACCTTTCGCGTGTTAGGCGAACGTGATGACCACTACACTACAGAAACCTCCTTATGTAAGACATGTGCTTTTTCGAAAATGGCTCCATCCCATAATCTTTCCTGCAAGCATTGTGACAAGCTGTTTAAATTCCACAAACAACAGATAAGAGCTCATTCGGAATGGCAGTCTGCCTACAGCTCTTTGGTACAATTGCCCTCACCTAATTTCAATAGTCCAAAAACTTTGTTGCGAATTTCAGCACGTGTATTAAAAACCCCTTTACTTGTTTTCGCCCAGTTTCGAACTGAGGACCTTTCGCGTGTAAAGCGAACGTGATAACCACTACACTACGGAAACTTAACTTGGAAGACAGTCCGACCTCTTTTAGCGTACGCTTGTTCAAAAGCGACTGAAACGATAGACTGCCCACTGTCCTTAAAATGGCAAAAAGCTGCTATTTTTGTTGGCAGACTAAACATTTTTTATTACTCTACAGGAAACTTCAATGGTCATTTGTTTTGTTTTAGTCCTTTTCTAAAGAATTTACACCGCAAATCGCCCTGCAAGTGTTCTGACCTGCTCAACAGAAAACCACTCAAAAAATGTTAGCAAAGACCATCCACAGTTTCCGCCCAGTTTCGAACTGGGGACCTTTCGCGTGTGAGGCGAACGTGATAACCACTACACTACGGAAACATGCCCTGTAGGTGCAGGCAGAAATCTTCTGGTGCAGGCTTGTTAAAAAGTGTATAAAGGAAAAGTGAGCTGAGCCCTCCTGTTGTGGCAAACAGTTTAAATTTTCTGCGAAAAGCCAATTGCTGTTTCTGCTCGGTTTCGAACCGAGGACCTTTCGCGTGTTAGGCGAACGTGATGACCACTACACTACAGAAACCTCCTTATGTAAGACATGTGCTTTTTCGAAAATGGCTCCATCCCATAATCTTTCCTGCAAGCATTGTGACAAGCTGTTTAAATTCCACAAACAACAGATAAGAGCTCATTCGGAATGGCAGTCTGCCTACAGCTCTTTGGTACAATTGCCCTCACCTAATTTCAATAGTCCAAAAACTTTGTTGCGAATTTCAGCACGTATATTAAAAACCCCTTTACTTGTTTCCGCCCAGTTTCAAACTGAGGACCTTTGGCGTGTAAAGCGAACGTGATAACCACTACACTACGGAAACTTAACTTGGAAGACAGTCCGACCTCTTTTAGCGTACGCTTGTTCAAAAGCGACTGAAACGATAGACTGCCCACTGTCCTTAAAATGGCAAAAAGCTGCTATTTTTGTTGGCAGACTAAACATTTTTTATTACTCTACAGGAAACTTCAATGGTCATTTGTTTTGTTTTAGTCCTTTTTCTATAGAATTTACACCGCAAATCGCCCTGCAAGTGTTCTGACCTGCTCAACAGAAAACCACTCAAAAAATTTTAGCAAAGACCATCCACAGTTTCCGCCCAGTTTCGAACTGAGGACCTTTCGCGCGGGAGCCGAAAATGGTTAAGCTTAACTTCCCTTAACTTTTCCCATTCATTCTCTATGGTAGTGCTTAACACTACGGATGCAATCTACTTTTGGCCACACGTAGACTTCCCGGCGCTGTTTCGCTTTTCCGTGGCGGGGAATTTAAAAAGCGAAGCGTCATCTGTCAACCCGTTTTATTACCGGAGAGATATTTGTTTACCGACTTGTCAGCAAACTTGTTTCGTTTTGTCTAAACTACCTGCAGACAGACTTTAACTCAGGTGAGTGCATATACTTTATTATTCAAATATTTTATCATTTAAATTGCATGTATTGTCATGTAATCGTATTGTTATCGTGTTGAATGGATTGTGACGATAAGAAACAGCTATTTTATAAGAGTATCTTTGTTTGTAAAGGTGAATGTTTCATCATAATCTCTAACTATGTTTAAAATATAAGTTAACATTGCAGAAAGATGTAATGTGCAGTAGTATGGAGGACCAAACCTGCAGTTAAAAATGAATGAATGAATAAATAAATAAATGAATGAATGAATAAATAAATAAATAAATAAAATTAAATGTGATAATAGGAAAATACATAAAGGAATAAACGACTTGATAAAATAATTATGATAACATTTTAATCAAATATATTTTTGTATAATTTCCCCCAAATATATCATTTTTTGCTTTTATATTTTAATGTATTTGTATTCGTTTTAATTGTATTTATTTATTATTTTATTTCTTTGTTCAGTTTATTCTTATATTTATTTATGCATTCATTTAATTATATATTTATTTTATATAATATATATATTTATATATTATTAATATATTATATTAATATATATATTTATTTATTCCAATTTGTTTTTATTTCCAGATATTCTTTCTTTAGTTTTATATCTATTTTTACAGTATTTCATTTATTGATGTGCATGATAATTAGGTTGGTTGGTCTTGCTTACCAAATATAAATATTAATTAACACATAAATAAAAGCAGAAAGGGAAGGGAAAAAAATACAAAAATGATTTTGATTAAGAATAAATCATATTTATTTTATCAAGTCATTTATTCCTTTATTTATTTTCCTATTATCAAATGTATCTTTTTTTTTACTTATTAATGTTTAATTTCTGCAGGTTTGGTCCTCCTATATTGTAATTAATATCACACACACATATTACATTTAAATTATGAACAAATAGATATATGTGTGCAATTTAATAGTACAATTTAACATTTTTAATTAGTTAAACTTGTTAACTTTTTATATATACATGCATACATTTCTGCATATATATTTTTATATTTTTATTTTATTTATTTTATAGTAATGGAGGAGGAAGAAGAACTGGAAAGTTTTTCTCCAACAAAATATCTCACACAGCTGAGTAAGTAAATCAAGTATCTTGTCATGTGTGTTATATATACCCATGTCAAATTCTTATAAAATTGGAATAAAAATTGAACATACTGGAGAGAAACCATTCAAATTATAATGCGTATTTTTTAGGCTCATCTGCAGCCACAGGATCCACAGTCTTATTTACAACAGGTTACTTTACACATCCATTTTTGAGGCTTATTCAATTACATACTTATCCTTCATGTTCTTTTGTTCTAACTACTGTTAAGGTTTGAATATACCAGTGGTGAAGGTGGGTGCACTTCATGAATTGTATGCATGCTAAACTGTTATTTGTTGTGAAAAAATTGACTATTTACTTACAAGCATTTGAACATTATCAGAATGTGCATTACTAGAACAAATAACAGAATAAATAGAATAAAAGAATAAATAATGATTAGTCATTTAATGTAGTCAAGACAATCAAATACATATGTACATTCAGTTTTTAATTTCCTCCCTGTGCTTTTCCTTGCAGCTCCTCCAACAACATCGGCTTTGCACCATCTCACGCAGCACAATCAGCCTCTACACCTGCACCAATGCTGTCTGCACTCACTGAAACCCCTGTTCCCAGCTACTTGAACACAAAAGTAAAGACGTGCATTACACACGTGTATTAAATGTGTTATTCACGCATATACAATATTATACATATTAATGCACTTTTAATATATATATACAGTGGTGTGAATAAGTGTTTGCCCCCATGCTAAAGTTGCCTAAAAAGAGGAATAAAAATAATCTTTTTGATATTGATCTTAATGCCTTAATTAGAAAAATGAGGAAAACTCCAACCTTTAAGGACACAAATTTTCTTTGTGAATGAATAATGTATCATAAATAAATAAATGTTTTTCCTCAAAATACAGGGTGCATAAGTCAGGGCACCCCTATGTTAAATTCCCATAGAGTCAGGCTGATTTTTATTTTTAAAAGCCAGTTATTTAATGGATCCAGGATAATATGCATCCTGATAAAGTTCCCTTGGCCTTTGGAATTAAAATATCCCCACATCATCACACACCTTCCACCACACCTAGAGATTGGCATGGGGTAGTACTTACCATAAGATCATCTTTCAATGCAAATCAAACCAGCTATTAGGCTAACTGAAGTAAAACCATGCAAACACTTATTCACACCACTGTATATATATATATATATATATATATATGGATGTTCATTAAAATTACAAAAGTATTGTATTTTATTGCATTGCATTGTATTTTTTTAAGTTCATTTATTGACTAGCATTATTTTATCTTGCTCAGATTTGAAAAAAACACTAAATATTAAGTATTGTTACTATTAAACACTGTACATAATTATTTACTTTTAAAAATGTTCTTGTTTTTTTTTTCATTTTCTCCACAACCATATTATTATTGCTGTTATTTAATCTATAATTTTAAATTGTTAAATTTCTTTCCATTGTCCATTAAAATCAAACAGTTTAGTCCTTGTTTGCATTGCAATTTGGTGTGTTTTTAAAGTTAATTTTATTGACTTGCATTATTTTATCTTGGTCAGATGTGTAAACTTAATAACTGTTAATTAAACATTGTACATAATTATTTGTTATTTTTTTAAATCTTGTTTTTTCCCCAGCTTTATGTTGTTATTATTATTGTTATTATTCATGTTATTGTTTTTTAATCTATAAGTATTTAATACAGTACCTTTTTCAGTTTTACATAATAATATGTATATTATTGTATTATAAATAAAATGATAAACTTACTATTTGGTGTTTACTGGTTGTTTTTCATATATATATATTGGATTTTTGTGCATAGTTAAAGAAATATAATGTGAAAATCTCTAAAAAAAAATAAAATAAAGGTATAAAACATTATCAAAATGTTCTTTACAATTATTCACATTCAAATATTTTCTATATTAAAAGAGAACTATACCCTATTATAATTTAAATGTTTATTGAGATAATTGGACATTTCGTACATCCTACACAAAAACAAATCTTAAAAGTTTTATTCTATTTTCAGCAAAAATTTAGTTTATTATATGTAAATCGTACTTGACATGAATTTGTAATCATTTTTTAATCTAGATACAATATATGATATTTGTGGTCGAGACGGGACTCGAACCTATGATTTTGTGTATTTTTTCTGGCCCGCCTCCCTGAAATTTCCTGCGTTCCTATTGGCTGGCAGCGCTCTACACCTACGCGCGACTGGCCCCCGCGTGTAAAGCGAACGTGATAACCACTACACTACGGAAACTTAACTTGGAAGACAGTCCGACCTCTTTTAGCGTACGCTTGTTCAAAAGCGACTGAAACGATAGACTGCCCACTGTCCTTAAAATGGCAAAAAGCTGCTATTTTTGTTGGCAGACTAAACATTTTTTATTACTCTACAGGAAACTTCAATGGTCATTTGTTTTGTTTTAGTCCTTTTTCTATAGAATTTACACCGCAAATCGCCCTGCAAGTGTTCTGACCTGCTCAACAGAAAACCACTCAAAAAATGTTAGCAAAGACCATCCACAGTTTCCGCCCAGTTTCGAACTGGGGACCTTTCGCGTGTGAGGCGAACGTGATAACCACTACACTACGGAAACATGCCCTGTAAGTGCAGGCAGAAATCTTCTGGTGCAGGCTTGTTAAAAAGTGTATAAAGGAAAAGTGAGCTGAGCCCTCCTGTTGTGGCAAACAGTTTAAATTTTCTGCGAAAAGCCAATTGCTGTTTCTGCTCGGTTTCGAACCGAGGACCTTTCGCGTGTTAGGCGAACGTGATCACCACTACACTACAGAAACCTCCTTATGTAAGACATGTGCTTTTTCGAAAATGGCTCCATCCCATAATCTTTCCTGCAAGCATTGTGACAAGCTGTTTAAATTCCACAAACAACAGATAAGAGCTCATTCGGAATGGCAGTCTGCCTACAGCTCTTTGGTACAATTGCCCTCACCTAATTTCAATAGTCCAAAAACTTTGTTGCGAATTTCAGCACGTATATTAAAAACCCCTTTACTTGTTTCCGCCCAGTTTCGAACTGAGGACCTTTCGCGTGTAAAGCGAACGTGATAACCACTACACTACGGAAACTTAACTTGAAAGACAGTCCGACCTCTTTTAGCGTACGCTTGTTCAAAAGCGACTGAAACGATAGACTGCCCACTGTCCTGAAAATGGCAAAAAGCTGCTATTTTTGTTGGCAGACTAAACATTTTTTATTACTCTACAGGAAACTTCAATGGTCATTTGTTTTGTTTTAGTCCTTTTTCTATAGAATTTACACCGCAAATCGCCCTGCAAGTGTTCTGACCTGCTCAACAGAAAACCACTCAAAAAATTTTAGCAAAGACCATCCACAGTTTCCGCCCAGTTTCGAACTGGGGACCTTTCGCGTGTGAGGCGAACGTGATAACCACTACACTACGGAAACATGCCCTGTAAGTGCAGGCAGAAATCTTCTGGTGCAGGCTTGTTAAAAAGTGTATAAAGGAAAAGTGAGCTGAGCCCTCCTGTTGTGGCAAACAGTTTAAATTTTCTGCCAAAAGCCAATTGCTGTTTCTGCTCGGTTTCGAACCGAGGACCTTTCGCGTGTTAGGCGAACGTGATGACCACTACACTACAGAAACCTCCTTATGTAAGACATGTGCTTTTTCGAAAATGGCTCCATCCCATAATCTTTCCTGCAAGCATTGTGACAAGCTGTTTAAATTCCACAAACAACAGATAAGAGCTCATTCGGAATGGCAGTCTGCCTACAGCTCTTTGGTACAATTGCCCTCACCTAATTTCAATAGTCCAAAAACTTTGTTGCGAATTTCAGCACGTATATTAAAATCCCCTTTACTTGTTTCCGCCCAGTTTCAAACTGAGGACCTTTGGCGTGTAAAGCGAACGTGATAACCACTACACTACGGAAACTTAACTTGGAAGACAGTCCGACCTCTTTTAGCGTACGCTTGTTCAAAAGCGACTGAAACGATAGACTGCCCACTGTCCTTAAAATGGCAAAAAGCTGCTATTTTTGTTGGCAGACTAAACATTTTTTATTACTCTACAGGAAACTTCAATGGTCATTTGTTTTGTTTTAGTCCTTTTTCTATAGAATTTACACCGCAAATCGCCCTGCAAGTGTTCTGACCTGCTCAACAGAAAACCACTCAAAAAATGTTAGCAAAGACCATCCACAGTTTCCGCCCAGTTTCGAACTGGGGACCTTTCGCGTGTGAGGCGAACGTGATAACCACTACACTACGGAAACATGCCCTGTAAGTGCAGGCAGAAATCTTCTGGTGCAGGCTTCTTAAAAAGTGTATAAAGGAAAAGTGAGCTGAGCCCTCCTGTTGTGGCAAACCGTTTAAATTTTCTGCCAGAAGCCAATTGCTGTTTCTGCTCGGTTTCGAACCAAGGACCTTTCGCGTGTTAGGCGAACGTGATGACCACTACACTACAGAAACCTCCTTATGTAAGACATGTGCTTTTTCGAAAATGGCTCCATCCCATAATCTTTCCTGCAAGCATTGTGACAAGCTGTTTAAATTCCACAAACAACAGATAAGAGCTCATTCGGAATGGCAGTCTGCCTACAGCTCTTTGGTACAATTGCCCTCACCTAATTTCAATAGTCCAAAAACTTTGTTGCAAATTTCAGCACGTATATTAAAAACCCCTTTACTTGTTTCCGCCCAGTTTCGAACTGAGGACCTTTCGCGTGTAAAGCGAACGTGATAACCACTACACTACGGAAACTTAACTTGGAAGACAGTCCGACCTCTTTTAGCGTACGCTTGTTCAAAAGCGACTGAAACGATAGACTGCCCACTGTCCTGAAAATGGCAAAAAGCTGCTATTTTTGTTGGCAGACTAAACATTTTTTATTACTCTACAGGAAACTTCAATGGTCATTTGTTTTGTTTTAGTCCTTTTCTAAAGAATTTACACCGCAAATCGCCCTGCAAGTGTTCTGACCTGCTCAACAGAAAACCACTCAAAAATTTTTAGCAAAGACCATCCACAGTTTCCGCCCAGTTTCGAACTGGGGACCTTTCGCGTGTGAGGCGAACGTGATAACCACTACACTACGGAAACATGCCCTGTAAGTGCAGGCAGAAATCTTCTGGTGCAGGCTTGTTAAAAAGTGTATAAAGGAAAAGTGAGCTGAGCCCTCCTGTTGTGGCAAACAGTTTAAATTTTCTGCCAAAAGCCAATTGCTGTTTCTGCTCGGTTTCGAACCGAGGACCTTTCGCGTGTTAGGCGAACGTGATCACCACTACACTACAGAAACCTCCTTATGTAAGACATGTGCTTTTTCGAAAATGGCTCCATCCCATAATCTTTCCTGCAAGCATTGTGACAAGCTGTTTAAATTCCACAAACAACAGATAAGAGCTCATTCGGAATGGCAGTCTGCCTACAGCTCTTTGGTACAATTGCCCTCACCTAATTTCAATAGTCCAAAAACTTTGTTGCGAATTTCAGCACGTATATTAAAAACCCCTTTACTTGTTTCCGCCCAGTTTCGAACTGAGGACCTTTCGCGTGTAAAGCGAACGTGATAACCACTACACTACGGAAACTTAACTTGGAAGACAGTCCGACCTCTTTTAGCGTACGCTTGTTCAAAAGCGACTGAAACGATAGACTGCCCACTGTCCTTAAAATGGCAAAAAGCTGCTATTTTTGTTGGCAGACTAAACATTTTTTATTAC